CAGTTCAAGATCGTTCGGGGCCGAATGTGTGCATAACACGCACGGCCTTCCTCCCCGTCCCATGCCAACCACATTGATTGTTTTTCGTTTAGACGGAGGCTTGGATATGGAAAAGGTCATCGTCGCAGCATTCCAACGTTACTGTGTATCCAACCCACTCCATCCCGATGTATTCCCCGCCGTCCGCCGCATGGAAGCTGAGGTCGTCGCTATGTGTCTTCGTATTTATAACAACCCGGATGGCGCAGGCGCGATGACGTCTGGGGGCACCGAATCCATTCTCATGGCGGTCAAGACCCATCGCGAATGGGCGCTTGACACGAAGGGCATTACTGAACCGGAAATGTGAACAGTCTTCATCTTCTTATGCTCCATCATCCTGACTGACCTTGTGGCCAGGGTCATCCCTGTGACCGCGCACGCGGCCTTCGACAAGGCTTCCTCGTACTTCAAGATCAAGCTTCATTGGATACCTGTCGACCCCGTGACACGACGAGTCGACTTGAAACGAATGCGTCGAGCGATGTAAAACGTATCCCATCTTCCTTCGCCAGTCGCTGACGGTGTTCTTGCAGAAACGCCAATACGATCATGGTATGGCATGACGTCCTTGGTCTATAAACGAATGATTGAGTTTTGCTTCTAGATAGTAGGATCAGCGATCAACTTCCCGGATGGTTGCCAAGATGACATCGTCTCTCTGGGTAAACTGGCGAGGAGATACAACATTGGCTTGCATGTTGATTGCTGCCTCGGCAGTTTCATCATGCCTTTCCTCGAGAAGGCGGGCTTCCCCGTCGAGCCGTTCGATTTCCGCGTCGCTGGCGTGACGAGCATCAGTTGCGATACACACAAAGTAAGAAGGCGTTTCACCCTGTCGCATGCCGCTCCACTGACCGCCGCTATAGTACGGGTTCGCTCCCAAGGCAAGTATCTCGCCATCGTGTTTGCAAGTGGTGGTTGACCCTTTGGCGTATAGGGCTCCTCAGTTGTTATGTACCGTTCCCCCGAGCTCCGTCAATATCAGTACTATGTCAACCCCTCCTGGACGGGTGAGAGACACTGAGTGTCTCCATTTCTTATGCTAACCATCCACGCCAGGTGGTGTTTACGCTAGCCCCGGTTTGTCCGGCTCACGGTACGTTGCCTTCCTTCTGTGGCACCGAGCAAGCCTTAACGCCTCCTTTCCCAGACCTGGCTCCTTGATCGCGGGAACCTGGGCAGCCATGCAATACATGGGCGAAGAGTACATTTCCTTCTTTCAACCATTATCGTGCGATCTCTGATACCTTGCCTTTCAGAGGCTACATAGCATCCTGCCGGGACATAGTCAACGCGGCGAGGACAATCGAACGTGGAATACGGACGAACTTCCCTGATCTCGCCGTTCTGGGCAACCCCCCCGCATCCGTCGTCGCGTTCCGCGCTGTGGACCCTGCGGCGCTCAACATCCTGGAGGTCGGAGATCGAATGTCGAAGCGTGGGTGGCACTTGAACGCGCTGCAGGATCCCCCGGGGTTGCACATCGCGTGCACGGTGCGTGCTTGCGGTTGAAAAATATCCGGAACAGGAAGGAGGCTGACTGGGGGGACTGGATAGCGCTTGACTGTGAGCGTCGTGGACGCGTTCTTGTCCGACTTAAACGCGGCGATCCTGGAGGCGAAGGGGTCGCCGGCCGGAGAGGGCAACATGGTCGCTCTGTATGGTAAGATCGCTTTTCTTTTCACTCCGTTGACTTCCTTGTTCATCGAAGCGACAGGTCTGGGAACGTCGAGCGCAATTGGCCCGGAGATGGTGGGCACGCTGGCGTCGGCGTTCTTGGACGCGATGTATCAAGCATGATTCTCGGGAGCTTGGAAAACGAGGGTGGACGGATTTCGGATTAGACCGTGGTTCGCGCATATCTGTTCATCATGTATCTTTTATTATAACCTATCTGCGGTTTTTTGGGTGCGATCTGTTGCACGTATATGTACATGATGCTACCTATGAGCATGCGTTTATAGAGCATTCTGGCTGCGACGAAAAGTTCGTGTTTACGAGGCTCCAGCCCGTGCGCAAGTCAAGATACACGGCTCGCACGATTATCGCGATCGGTTGGTTACATGCACCCCGAGCCACTCCGTTACCAGACATGACACCTGGATCCGATGCGACCGAAGGCCTGTCTGGGTGTGAGAAGCGGTCCTCTTCTATGTATGTCGGAAGTGCATGTGGAGTGCTGAGCGCTGAGCGCGGGAGAGCCATGATGAACGGCTGCCGCTGGTGCAAAACCTGCACAAACGGAGCAGCTCGAAGTCGAAGTATGCGGATAAGGCCTACTGGTAGGCAAGGTCAATACACTCAAAGCTCCACGACCGGGCTGAGACTGACCCTAGAAGCACTGTGATCGTGGTCGGCGGGATGCTCGAAGCACCGCGGCGCGAAGCGCACAAGTTCGAGAACGCA